AATTAAAATTAAATAATAAATTTAAATTAGTTTTTTATTTTTTTTTCTTTGGCCCGGCCGGGCCAGTGGTCCCGAGGCACTCTAGTAGCCTAGGTTTGTGGTTAATCCTGTTGTGGTCAATTTTCTCTGGTCAATTTTGTGGTCAGTCTTATTGTTGTTAATTTGTGGTCCATCTTGTTCTGATCAATTTTTTGGGGTCAATTTTGTGGTCAACGTTTTTGTGGTCAATTTTGTGGTCCCGAGGCACTCTAGTAGCCTAGGTTTGTGGTTAATCTTGTTGTGGTCAATTTTGTGGTCAACGTTTTGTGGTCAACTTCTTGTGTACAAATATGACCTAAATTTGGGAAACTTCTCATTTCAGAACTCGAGAGCGGTATGCGGTTGGGGCAACTCAAGCCCTCCTTAACAAGTGCTCCTCTTATATTTACTTAACAGGTGGAAGTTCCTGCCGAAATAATAAAAGATGATATAGTATCAGGCCTTTATCATCAAAGGTTTTTTTTAACTGTAAACTCTCTAACTATCAGGCCTTTATCATCAAAGTTTTTAAACTCTAAACTCTCTAAAGATCAAAATTTTGAAGTTTAAAGTTTAAAGTTTAAACCCATGATAGATGCAATGGGAGTCATCCGACAGACTAACAAACCGATTGCAATAATAAAAAAAAAAAAGAGAAAAAAAAGGCATAACCTTCCCTGTCAAGGTGCCATCACTTCCACGTTGAGAACGCAAAAAGGTATTTGAAAAAAATAAAATAAAAATCAGGTTCTTCATTCGTTCTTCTGCAGAATCTTCCCTTAACTGTGCGTGTTCCGGTTCTCCCCGTTCCCCACAACATTTTCGCATCTGCGTCGTCTTATTACGGGTTCAACGCGAACTTGGTTTAGAACTGCTTGTTGCATGCGGCGCAAACTTCAAGAAGGAGGATAAGTTCGGGTTGAACCCGTTGTACTTGGCTTTACAGAGGGGAAAGGATGGCGAAGATGCGTTTAAGTTCCTGCTGTCGGAGGGGGCTCCGTACAACGAAAATCGATTCGTGGATTTCAAAGCAATCGAGGCGGCAGCTGCCGAGGCAATGAAGGAAGCAGCGCGTGAAGCCGAGAGAGCTGAAGCAGAGAAAGCTGCAGCGGCAGCGGCAGCGGCATTGCCACCAGAGAATGTAGCAGCGTCAACAGATAAGCTGTCTACCTCACGAGGTCTCCCGACAACATGGGAGGAGGCGGCAGTCCCTGAGACACCAAGAGGTATTTCTAGTCCCACGGCAAGCTTAAGTGCCTCTTCCGCAGCGATGCCCTTTCGCAATCCTGAGACGTTTTTTTCGGAAAGAGAACACAGCGCTCGTGCATCTGGGCTGGTGATCAACGGGATGCCGAACCCTCTTTTCGAAGCCAACGCAGATCAACCGACCGCTGCATCGGCACAGCAGGCGCCGGGCCTGGCAAGGGCGCAGGCTCGGTTCTTGGAAAGGGCAGCAACTCGGGAAGCGCAAGCCGCGGGAATCGCGGCAGGCCGTCTTGAGGATGCAAACAGTGTCAACAGACTTGGAGGTGCTGCTGACCTGAGGGAGACGCGGTTGAGAAATGTGAATGCCGCCCACGGTCCCGACTTCCTCGGCGGGCGAGGTGGTGGTGGTGGTGGCGGGGGGCCGGGGCAGTTGTATCCGGTGGCAGAGCCCGGAAAGAGACGATTCTCATCGTTTCTGAAGGCCGACCCTAAAGCGAGGGCGGGGTTGGTCATTCCCGTGCCTCCCATGTCATTGGACGCACCAGGACTCAGGGGCAGCCAGACTCGGCTCACACAGCACACTCCCGTCACCACTACGCATGCTCTTAGACCGCCGAGGACAGACAGTTATAATGTATTGGCTACCCCCCGGACGGAGAAACCTACCCCCTCCACAACAATCCCACCCCTGTTGAAAGACACAAGCAAGGACACGATGAAGATCAAGATACAAGCATCACTGCAAACTGGGGTTCCCCAACGAAAATCCCTGGAAGTGTTTCTTAAAGGCATCAAAGATCCAGTTACCTCGAGGGCGTCGTCTGGATCACCGCTGCCAAGGCCGCCTTCTTCTGGGTCACCCATGCCGAGCGCCGTCGACGAGATGGGCAGTCCCCGCAGACGGTCAAAAGATACCGCCCGGGCATGGACTTTCAACTAGCTCTCTCTCCGATTCTCCATAGCTTTACTCATTCAGTTATTATTAACTTGTTATTAGTTATTAAGTTATTAACTTATATAAGGTTTACTCCTTTTTCTTTCTTTTTTCCTTTTTTCCTTTTTTGCTTAACATTGCTCATTGTGACTGATGTGTTTTTTTTCCTTCTTTTTCCGTGAAGGGAGTAGTTTGGATTCCAAATTCCAATCCAGTTCGCGCGAGCATGACTATATATCTATCTGATTTGAGCAGGATTCCTTCTTTTTTTTTTTAACAAATTAAAAATATCAAAAGGGGGTACTCATGACGTACTCATCAACCTACCATCGTTAATTTAACGCACGGTCAGTATAAGGGCAATGTTCAGTCTAGGTACATGGAGGTACCATTTAGCCATATGGCTTGTAGGTAGCCTTGCCATTACATAATTTCGATTAAATAATTAGTAATTAGTAATTACATTAACTGAATTTAATTTAATTTGCCTTCAATTGGGGCACTTCTCGGCAGCCCCACATGAATAAAAAATAAAAAAAACTGAATTTGATTTAGTGAACCTGAGCACTAATTAACCCTTTGTTTTTTCAGAGGGGCAGGTGCAAATTTTTAGTTTGCCGCAGCAAGTTTATGAGGGAGGGGTGAGGAGCAAGGGGAGGAAGGGGGGGGGGGGGGGGGGGGGGGCGCACTGACAAGGCAAATTATGAAAGAGGGGCGAGGATGGGGAAACTCAACAGCCATAGCAATGAGGAAGCTGAAACTAAACACTTTTGACTTCAGTGTTGACTTCACAGTTGACTTCAACAGTTGACTTCAACAGTTGACTCACTGTTGACTTCAACAGTTGTCTTCACAGTTGACTTCAACAGATGTCTTCACAGTTGACTTCATTGTTGACTTCATTGTTGACTTCACTGTTGACTTCACTGTTGACTTCATAGTTGACTTCAACAGTTGACTTCACAGTTGACTTCATAGACAAGAAGCATGGCTTTGGTCAAAGGAGGGTTGAACTATTGCTGTGAGGGGCAAGTGTGCAACAGTTGTGCAATTGTGTGGACAACTATGGCATTGTTGGAGCACATGGGTTGTCGTCCAAGCTCGAAGAATAACCCTCCAATGCACATGCAGCTAGCAACTTCTTTTGGGCTGCGCTAAGCTCGGCTATGTGTTGTCGCATGATTACAAAAAAAGAGGAAAACAAACGATGCTGTCCGGTGCACCTCGGTCCAGTTTGGTTATACGGATCCGCACATCGACGGACCTAGATCCTCCATGCTCCTGCATGGATTCAATCCGGCAACCTCAGTCCCAAAAGCCAAGTATCTTAACCACTACAGCCAGGACACGGTGTTTGAAAAAGGATCCATGCCGGTCTTGAAATCCACCCCACCCCTGCAAGGCTGTAGTGTCCAAACGCAACTCGACACCAAACACCCAATTCCCCCGAACGCATCGGCAATCCTCGCCTGTGAAACATGCCATACCTCGTATGAGACTGTGGTCGTACAGCCGTATGAACGGTCCCGTACAGACTGACGAAATCCCCCCCCAAAAAAACGAAGAAAAATACATATATCGTCATATATATATATATATATGGGGATGTAGAGCTTTTCGAGCTCCACACCACCCTAATTTTATTTTTGGTCTTTTTTCTATTTCAACAAAAAAAAAACAAACGAAACGGGAAAAAAAAACAAAATAAAGAAATAAAAATTGATTGGTTGATTGATTGATTGATTGATGGATTGAAAAAAAAAAAAAACTCGCGCCTATCCTAGAGTGCACACTCCCTCTCTCTTTCTGTCTGTCTCTAAGCGCGCCCGCAAGAGAGAGAGAGAGAAAGAGCGCGCGCGCGTGCGCGCGCACGAGAGAGAGAGAGAGAGAGAGAGAGAGAGAGAGAGAGAGAATGTGTGTGTGTGTGCATGTGTGGGTGCGTGTGTGTGTGTGTGTGCGTATGTCTGTGTGTGCGTGCATGTGTCCGTGTGTGTGTGTGTGTGTGTGTGTGTGT